TCAGATACCGGTATTTCACGATATTTATAAAATTATATAAAAACCTCCTTTATTGTAGAAACTGCTGAAATAATACTTGTAACTTCCCCAGGCCTTTTCAATATAGTTAAAAAAAATACTTCGTCAGCTTTCAGAGGCAGATAGAGAGAAAAGAGAGAGAGAAAGAGCTTTTCATTCACTGTCGCAATTTTAAATATCTTACTTTAAAATAAAATTGATAATTAATTAAAAGACTTTTAAATAAAATTATCAAGAAAGAAAATACACAAAACATTTCTACAGGGTGTATACCATGTGTACTGTGGTTCTCAAAATCTCATGGAATCTACACGATCGACGATTAAGTTCAAGATACATACTACAAATAAATAGCCATTCATGTTTTCACTTGATACAGTGTTGCTTTTTATTATTTTTTTAACAATATTCATGCCATTTTAAACACTTTCATGCTATACCAGGAGCATCTATATTAAAACAATAGAAATAGGTCAATGCAGTTCCTGATCGTATATCATCATGATGTGAAATTAGGTCGGGTCAGACTAAAACACCAAACGCCCGAAAATAGGTCACAATTTCTTTCTGGCTTTAATTTTATTCTGTGACCACATAAAATTTCCATGTAGTATGTATTGTTTTAAGTTACATTTTATGCTATTTCAATAATTATTATTCTACTTTAGTGGACCCCCCCCCCCCAAAAAAAAAAAAAAAAAAAACATTTAAAGAATATATTATCCATAAACTTTTTTTTCCAATTTGAAAATACTTCAAATGAGTACATTTTGTTTTAATATTTTACCTGGTATTTGATTAAAGTTAATATAATAATGTGTGCGATTAATTTAGTATCCCCGCCCCCTTATAAATCTATAGATAAATTCAAATAGTCTTTGAACTTGACAGCATTTTAAACTTTATGCACAAATTTATTAATTATGATTAATCTACAATATATCGCAATATATTGCAATATTCAAGGCAAAATATTGCAATATTCAAGGCAAAATATTGCAATATATCGCAATATGGTTTTCACTCGCAATACCCAACTCTATTTATTACATATTGCCATTGTGCACCTCCTATTTTACTTTTTGATCCGACAAATATTTTGGGTTTCCCATAGCAAAACATGGACACTGCCATTTATACACATATGGGAGGCGGGGGGTATCATTTAGTGAGCCCATTGCTCACAGTACCTCTAGTTTATTCTTACAGACGTCATATAGTTATGAAATTTCACAGAAATATGTATCTTAAAGATTCCAATAAATTTTGTGCAAAATTTTTGTATTTTAAGAAAATTCTACGGAAATTATCGGTATGTAGATATCGCTGATGGAGAGGTACAGAGCACGACAAAAAAACTGAAGAAAAAGCATGCGGAATCCAAAATTTAACTCATTAATTTTCTATAATTCGCGATATTTTTCGACAATTTTCTCAAATGTATCTTTATATTGTTCATTTATTATGTATTTAGATTTCTGACATGATATTTGAAGTACTAACAGAAATATAGTCATTTTTTCCGATGCGATTCCCGTGAAAACGACTGTGAAAATGACATCTCCTGAATTGACGGCGCATCACACCTTTGTTAAGTTATGTGTAATGCTCGAGATATCGCCAACATAGATCCAAAATATGCATAATAAAACATGTAGTAAACTAGGGTATTCGTGACATTCGTCCACAAATAGCAAAATGAAATTTTAGACCGTAAGACCTCTGTAAAAAGGCTATACGGGAGGTTGGGAAGAAGATTATCGACGAAAACTTTATCCGGATTGTAAAGAACGTGATTGAGAGTCACCAATTTCACACTATATCTCATAAATACCTGCAGTTTTTGGTGTTAAAACAAAAAAAAAATATTCTTTACTTGTTTAATAGATTTTAAGCTCGGCAGGAAATGGTGTTTGGATGTTGAGTAAATAAGGTAACTCAAACTGTATAGGTAATCTTGGGAAAATGTTGAGAAATTGAAAGCTCAATCACATATTTTTTTGTAATGCCTGTGACGTCGAAGATGATATGTCCTGATAAATCACTCAAAATTGATACCAATTTACAACATTTTGATATGAAATTTTGAAGAACATATAAGTAAAGATTCCTTTATATTATGTATGACATTTTGCCAGATTATGTCGTCAAATATTTTTTCTGTGCAACAAGTCCGCGTAATTTTTTAACGGCCCTCGTATTTCTAAAAGGAAATTTTAAGAGATTGAAATTAATCATATTAAACCCATCAAAATCTATTTATTTATAGCAATCCAAAATCTTTAACAATTGATCATATTTTGAATTTAATTCCATATCAATTCAAATTACTTTATCTGTGAAATAGTGAATAAGGTACAAGGTAGACTAGACATACCTGGTGGTTTCTCCACCTCAAACTTGTCTGTGAAGTCAATCTTGTTATTAGCCACAGTGTCAGCTATAGCCAGGAGATACATCTGATCCACACTAGTCAGTCCAGGCAGCTGTGTGTGTGTCAGGTGCTTCATCAGGACCTGGCTATGGTTAGGGGTGAACTCGTTCGGATTAGACGGATTAGCTCCAGACGAGGACTGAAGGCGACCCCGGCCGGACGTGTTGCTGTCTGCTGAGGTACCCAGAACATCTGTGTCCAGTTCTTCCTCCACTCCGACATTGGTGGAGAACAGGTCACTGTAGTCCTGGTTTGCTGTAGCAGTTCCAGGGGTTGTGCTTGTAATGTGGTCGTTTCTGGTCACAGTAACTTGTTCGTCAGCAGCTAACAGGGCATACATGGGAAGAGGTGGTATGAAAGAAATTTCTTTGTACTCTAAATGAGGTTCCTCTTGCAGTAGTGGCACCTCCATTGGACTTTTTGGACTTGCCCCACTTACAGATAGGGCCCTACTCCTACCATACCCCCACTTCAAGTCCTCTGTGTCCATTTCCTCTGATATATTCATTGGAGGGATTTCGCCATTACATATACACCTTACTAAATGAGCTAGAATTGCTTTAACTCTCCTGACTTTCCCAAAGTTCAATAGCTCTATCATTTCTTTTGGATGATACTGGGGAAGACATGGATTTGCTTCTCTTGAAGCTTCAAAGAGCCCAAAGTCATGGATGGCTGACAAGCTAGTTAAACTCTCACTTTTAACTTTGCTCAAGGAGGATTTCACACTAGCATCTGAGCTTTTCTTGGACACAGTATTTATATGCTTGAAGTTTGGTAAAGAGTAAGAGGGTTTAAAAGTAGCGGTAGATTTTATGTTGGCAAGGACCTCGATGTTTAAACAGGAAGAATCTGGGTCCTGAAGACATTTGGTGTCTTCTACACAACCATGATCCACCTGTGACTGTGAAGACCTCCACTGAGAATACACATGCATCTCATTATCCATCCCCACAACCAGAATCCCAGCTCTCACCCAGGAAATGTGCATAGGTAAGGGAGGTAATCCATCAGCAGTGCTTAACTCCACTGATCGTAGCAGCATCCACCGTATCTCCTCAGGGTTATCATCCATTATCATGACAGATTTGGCCTTCTGAAGTCTCCCTCTAGTTTTTGGTGCCTCAGCCTTCTCCTTTCCTAGATGTAAATTCAGGGCTTCTCTGCTTGGATTCTGACTGTGCCTTAGCTTCCTCTTGGATTTTTCTTCAGTGCCCTCCTTCCCTTGCTTGGATGCACTGATTACATCATCAGATACCTGGGCATACATCAGAATTTTTTGTCCTACTCCTATAGTCAAAATGTGTGACCCATCTTCTGTTGACACCCAGTCCAACTGAACAAGATGTTTCTGATGCAAAATTCCTGCTGTATTGCCATGCTCTGCTATGCTCTTTCTTACACTACAGATTGTACTCAAGCTTGGTATAGACACTGATTTTGAAATGTTAACTAAGGATGCAGAGGGGGACATCCCTTTTGGGGTTTCTCCCTCCTCTATGACTCTTGGAGATTTTATTCCAGAGGGGCAAAGGATGCAGTCCATATCTATTTCTGCTTTAGGATCAGGAATTGTGACATTCTTAAGTTCAATGGTGTCTTCTAAGATCCATTCTGAGCCTCCTAAAAAAGAGAAAATGAAAATGGCCTTAAGTATTTTACTTAATGTGTGATAAAAATTTTAAAAGAAAATCAAAATGTAACAAATATCAATTTAATATGAAATATGTATTTAAATTAATTTTTCCACCTGTTGATTCACATTCATAAATGGCCACCCAGAGATTGAGAAGTTTTCCCTTTGGGTTGTTAGGAAGTATTTTTGGTCCCACCAATCTGTAGGCCACAGCAAGACGTCCACTGTACGCACAACTCACAGTGATTGGATGACCTACAAATTTATAAATGAAGGTTGGAATACATGTACCTATCTACAATTTACAATGGAACAAAACAAAATCAAATTATCCAGAATCAATTTAATTTCTTGATAACCAACTGGCAGTAACTCTAGAAAATGTTTAAAATTAATCTTTCCCAAAACAGATTCAATCTATTGTAAAAAAAAAAAAAAAAAATCTGCATTTTTTAATGGAATTAATTCTAATATTTTATATCAAACCTGTTCTGTAGTTAATTTTGTCTGAATATTCATATTCATGGACACCAAATGCCATTGAAAGTTTTACAAAGTAATAAATGCATAAATATTTTTTTTCAAATTCCATGGGAATACTTTATTACACTTTATCTTCACATTAGTCAATTTTGATAGCAGAGTTTAGAACATACTGAGAATGACATTTAAATGGGTGAAGTTTAAATTCAATGAAGCGTCAGTATACCTGTAATACTTATAGAACTCGTGTCCTTGGAGCTATTCGTCATGCTCCATTCTTGCCACTGGTAGCTCGTCTCCATGGCTTCTGATTTTGTGAACACACTGGTTGAGGGTTTTCTCATTCCATGGTCTTCCTCCACAGCCATTTCAAAACTTGTTGTGCTGTAGGACAATGTGGGCAGGGTAGATTTCCCTCCCACTTCATACACTGAGGACATACTGCAGTTCCAGAAACGAACCTCACCATCGGAACAAGCAGTGACCAGGAGGTATGGAGCAAGGCATGCTGGGTAAATGGAGGCGGAGCTTAAGTGACCTGCTGATACATTCGCACTCTGGACATCTACTCCTTCTGGCAGGGGTAAGGTTTGTGTGCACAACTATATAAATTGAACAGATAGACAGTTGTAGTCCACTATCAAAAGTCAACTTATTTGAACCAGATTTTTCTAAATTTTATGATATCGAGCTAAAAGTATCATTTTTAGTTCTATTATTTTTTCCAAGTCACTCAAACAATTTTTAATGATGTGGATCAATAGACTGACAAACAGGTGCTTCCAAAACAAAATGTTCCTCGATTTTTTAAAAAACAATCATGAATTTGAAAGACACATTTTAATACCGTACAAGTGGAAATTTTGGCGAGACGCAAATTTTGCGATTTGTCCTTAAAAACTGGTAATTCATTTTTAGCGAGATGTTATATAAGCGATTTTTAAATGCAGACTAAAGAAGCTATTACAAATAATACGCAATTTATTTTTAGCGATATTCAATTTTTGCGATCTCGGCACCCTCGCTAAATATGCCAAAATTAAATCCTTGCTAAAAATTCTCCTTATACTGTACATTCAAAGTTCTTGCTTACTTATTCTAACATACAAATTCTGATTTGTTTAACTTCCATATTAGCTTTCAAATTACATGAGATCAGGAACCAAAGGAGCAGTGCCTACCTTTGTGGTGGAGAAGATCACCTTGACAACAGTAGTGGGTTTAGGTGTTACGTGTTCAGGTGTAGAATTTCCAGACGGAGCATGAAAAGTTTCCTCCTCAGCGTTCACATCTATTGAACCCTTCCTTGTCCCATCCTGTGACTCTGTAAAGACAAAAATTCTTTAACTACACTAATTAACCTCTGGAGAAAGTTTTACATGGTTTAACATTGCTGGGGTTAAAATTATTTCTAAAAAATTCTGATGACTCAAGACAAAAGTGTTTTCCTACCTTCACATTGCTCTCCTGATTTGGAGGCAATAGTAATCTTCCACATGTGAAGCACTGATCCAAAGTTCTTGGTCTTTTCCAGCACTACCAGATAGAAATGTTCACAGAAGGAGCCCGAGGATCGTAGATCTACGATGACCTCCATGCCGCCGGAAGATGTACTGGGACGGCCAGTGATCATCTGTTCCTGGAAGACATGGAGCAGCTGTGTCTGCTGCCAGCTCTACAAAAACAGGTATCATATGTTACTTTTTATAGTAAGAAGGAAAATTTTGATAAATTATTTCTGTAGAATTAAAATCTAATGTGGTTATGTTTTATGATTCCTCATATCATAATAGTCCAACTTTGAACATATTTTATGAATACAGCTCAAGAATTTTCTTTCTTATACTTTTCAGCATGCTTTATATATAGAACAAAACATATTTTAATATACTGCATTGTTTTACAAATACCCACTTGAGTAGCATCAACAGTAGGTTCCAGCTCTATGATACAGCCTGGTCTGACTCACCTGAGCAGCATCAGCTATAGGCTCCAGCTCTATGATACAGCCCGGTCTAGCTGATGACTGCAGACTGACAATGTTAAATAACTCCCCTGGAGGTTTCTGGGGCTCCACACTGTATCCTGAGCTTGTGTTACTGCTGAAACTCATCCCTGGCTGTAAAGTGGAGGACAAAACAGAATAAGGAACCAACTACATGAATATGCTGTGACACTAAAGACCTTCTTAATTAAAGAGAAAATTTTAAACTCAGTAGCTAAACATAATACACAAATATTGCACTTTTGAATGGTGGAATATGATACAATTGCTTACATCCTTTCTCTGTGCCCCGACTTCCAGTAGGAGGGTCCTAGCATCAATGACAGCCTGGTACATCCTCAGACAGTTTCCGTCGGAGGCCACAAACAGGGCACTGGGAGAATTACTGTAGGAACCCAATGTCGAGCTACAATAAAGCAGCAAGTTTAAAATACCATATATCTGTTTTTTTTGCGATGATATAATTTTTCGCTATTTTGCGATCATTTTTCATTCGCAAAATATTAAACACACAGAAATTATTTCAGCTATAATGTGACATAAAAATATTACTACTTTAAACAAAAAAAAATTCTTGAATGTAAAAAATAACTTATGCAAAATAAAAACTGTACTAATCTACCCTTTCTCGCAAAATTTCAAACACACGAAAAAAAACAGATATACGGTATTTAGATGTTGTCTTAAAAAACTACTAAATGACATTAAATTTAATTCCCATAAAAGTCATCAATAATAAGACAATAACTGCTAAAAATGTACAATATAATAATCGATTCAGAAAACGATATTTAAATAAATTTCCAACATATAAAGAATATCTATATACACATGTAGAATACATACCCTCGTACATACATTTCAAACTGATCAGAATTTTAAACATGTATATTTTTGATTTGATCAACATCCAAAAAAAAACACAAAATAAAACTTGTAGCAACCAAAATATGGCATACTCATATTTTACCTTGGCAGTAAAGTAGGTACCCAGGCTACATCTGAGAATGCTGCCAGCTCTGGGGAATTAATCCTAGCCAACTCCACTATTCCTCCCGACTTAGACAATGGTCCTACTGGATCTACCCTCCAGAGAATTAACTCACTACAAAACTCCACCCCTCCAACTCCATGCTTCAGATCATCATCACTTTCCTTGGAGCTCGATCTCTGCATTTTTTCTCCAGTGAAACAATTCACAGGATCATTTGGTACATTGTGATGAGATGTTGATAGCAATAGAGGCAACACTGGGTGACAAGTTGCGGAGTTAGTTCTGAATCTATGTCCACATGCTCTGGTAGCATGTGCCACACTCACCACTGTGGAAAACTTAGAGTGGTCAGCAAAACTGATTTGCCATTGATTTAATGACCCGTTCATGTGCTTGGAGATCAGCAGAACATTAGGTATTAACATGTTATCATTTTGTCCAGGTGAATTTTTCCCCGTCGCTGGTGCTGGCGGGTTTTGAATTTTCGGATTCTCTACACTGTTACTGCTCTCACTTAACCTCATGGCTGACTTAATGTCCATTTTACTGTAATTACAGTACATCCATATATGACTAGCCATTGTCCTGGCATCAGGAACCGGGAAAGCATGTGGTAGTCGAGAGGAGAAACTGACCTGGGCCTGACGAAAGCAGTAAGGATTATACTCATCTAGCCAGTCTACCAACCTACAAAACATTACCAAGATATAACAAAAAGTATCTCCACTTAGAGAACAATCTCATTCATCAACCTCTCGTCTAAGGCCTCACAATTTATGATATTTATAAAGAAATTTTTAGTTTCACAGATGTTTTCAAAATCAATGGTTAATAAGCATTTCATGCCTTTTTTGCCCAGAAAATAATCTGAGTATACTTTTTAAAACAATGTACAAAATATCAAATAAATGCTTCCCATTGAAGATAAATGCACAATAAAGCTGAGGTAATGAGAAAACATTTATTGTTCTACATTATTTACCTACTCAAGATAAGCTTGTTTAAGGGTAGGTGCATACACTTCAGTGTAAAATTTCAAACTACCAGTTACACATTACAAGTTATGATCCAACACAAAGAGAGACCATGTGATTGCTTATTGCATTAAGGAAGAGAAAAATGTTATACTCATAAAGAACTCCCCTGTTAATCCCGGAAATTTTCTGGAACCTACATCAATGAAACTAATTTATAGCCTTACCAAACCAGAAAACTGCCATCAACTGGGTGTATACTAAACATCATGTCTGGATGCTGGTGCCAGTCTCTAAGTAGGGCCTCAATTTTCCTGTCTAATGCATCAATCACTGAACCCTGTGAAAAAAATCAGTATGTCAATGTTTTGAAAATTTTAGTTTGAATCACCTCCACCTCTACCCGCTTTATATCCTTCATGTATAATTTAGTCATACAATACTGATTTTCCTACTAAAGTGAAAGTTAAACACCATTACAAACTGTCTTGATGTGAGTGTTATTTAAGTCAAAGATAATGGCTACAATCATATGGGATTCAAAAATTACTGTATCTGTGTATTTTAATTTTCTCACCAGTGATGCAAATGTATAAATTAAGCTAAATCTGAGTTACTTCAAATAAGGTTATTTTTATATTTTACGCAGAAAGTGAGAAACAAAGAGAGCCACTCCCAGCCTGCTAAGAAATCTTACAGACACCTCCGGGGAGCTCATACTGCTGGCCCCCTCAGAAGTCTGGTCTGAGGGGTCAGAGGAACCCATGGTGGCTTGGCTTTCTGCGTAGGTCCCCGCCACATCCTTGGAAGACTTGTGACGCTGAGAATGTCTGCTCTTTTTCTTGAACAGTTTGCTCTTCTTCTTTTTGCCAATAGGTTGATGATGTTGACCTTAAAAGTGAGAATAAAGCTCTTATTTTGAAGACAATTAATATTTAGATAAAAGTAATCCAAGTCTGGTTTGAACATTATGACAAAATGTCAGTTCCAAAAATTCTTTTAAAACATGCTTTGAGCCACAGTAAAATTTTAAATGATGTAGAATTCTGTTTCGTTACTAGTATGAGTACTTCACTTTCACATACTTCCTTTGTCCCCTTCATCAAAGAGATGGTCATCATGGTCACTGTCCGATGCCTCATGGTTGTCATGGTGATGGTCATCTGATTGACCATCTACATTTAGAACTCCTCTGTGCATATCCTGCAATATGACTTCTGCTTCCATTGTGAATTGTAGCTCTTTATTGTTTAGCCAGTGAAGTTGGAAGTTAAAGTGCTGATCCTTAGACCCTATTACTGGAAGGAGAGGGACATCTGTAACAACAAAATGAAACATGCTAACACATTTTACTTGAATATCTGGTTTTTTTCACAGGTGCTTGGACTGACATTTTTAACCTTTCTTTTCATAAAAAAAAACCATACTAATACTGTAAAAAGAAAGATTTTTTATTTATGAAAAGAAAGGTAAAAAAGGTCAAGCGCCTAGGTGTTTTTTCTATTGTAGCATTACATGTTTGATTGAGAATTATAAGATTGGTTGTTCTAAAATGATATTTCATTGATTATAACAAAAGCATTCTGTAATGCTTTACACAGAATCTTACTTTGCATTCATTCATACAGAATTCATTTACAGAGACCCAAAACATAACCTCAATTGATTTTCCATCATAATGTAAAAGCAAGCATGATACATACATGTACTTGTACTTTCATGCATACATAATTTTTCTAAATAATGCTACTGTTTCAGCTCTGTCATCAGAAAATGTGGCTGCATCAAAGCATGGAAAATGGGAAATGTTAATTTTACCTGTCTCTGGGTTGATGCTGGCGGCCAGATGGAAGTGGAGTACAGTGGCTACACCGTTATGATGAAGAGCATACTTGTGGAAATCGTGGACACTTTGTACGGTGTTAAAGTTGGCCATGCTCATCACTGTCTCGGGCCCCATCTTGTGGTGCCTCTTACGCTTGTGGATGGCATGTCTGATTGGGAAACACAAAGACAATTTTATCATATATTAAGAACCAAATGATCAAATTATTTGCATTTTGTAGTGTATACCAATATGAACATCATCTTGCACCACTAAGTCATATTGATATTCTCACAAGTTTTCTTAATTTATAAGAAATAATCTGAATTCAGAAAAGATTCTTGAATAGAAATTGAATCTGCATTATCCACATTTTAAATATAGAGTTACTTTTAGAATGGGATTAAATCAGGTAAAGTCTACAAGATTTTAGCTGAATCTATTTGTATTTATCTATTAAAAGATATCCCTGACCATTCATTGATATTCATGCATAAATAACAATCTGTCAGTTTTGTTAAACCTAATGTTCTTAGAAACACCAATAGCATGCAAATATACAACACCTTACACAATAATTATATTTACTACCAAAGCAGCATTTTATAATTCTGCTCATTGTATATTTACTGGTGTGCAATTTAAAAAGCTGTTTTTCACTGAATTGTTGTGCTTTCAGCAGTGTATGGGACTGCAGTGTATTTACTTTATATATATTGAACTATAAAATATAAAAGTACATAAACATTTAAAATCAACAAAATAAAAAACAAATCTCATGGGCAAATGCCACTCCTTAAAATTAAAAAAAAAATTAAGTGAGCAAAATATTTCAATAAGGCCACACCAATAAAATTTCTTGTTCATTGGACCCGCGCGCTCAAATTTAAACACTATACAAATAATATTAATTTAAATTTCCCGCACCATTAGAATTCTGTGCCATTTTCTGTTCAATTTCCGCTCTATCTATGGAATTTAAACTGCAAATCAGAAAAAAATAATTGTCCGTTCAAATTTTTTCACGCTCCGCCTAAAAAATTGTCTACAAAAAAGTAATAGTAATATTATTTAACCGCTAGCCCGCTTGTACTTTTTTTCCTCAAATGTCCGACGAACAAGAAATTAAATTGGTGCGGCCTAAACTGTGTATGTACACAATGTCATTTTAATCCCTGATCACATTTTAACCTGTTTATATTTAAATCCTTCTGTATCAAATATTTATAAGAAAAACTAATCTTAACACAATCAACTACCATACACGGAATGTAAATTTGCTTTGTTTATATTTGAAAAAAGGAATTTATCTAATGTACATGTATGTGTTGAGGATTATACTGTACACAGCATCAGGACATGTATCATTTACATAATATTTAGGAAAGCCAACAAATATTATAAGAAAAATTACCTGCACTTCATTATGTATCAACATGTACTTATCAGCTCCCTTCCATCCTAAATCCACAAATACTTAGCAATTCTTTATTGGGAGGTACAGTACAGTATGAAGGGTGTGTAATTATTATAAGATGGTTGCTTACAATAGTGTTCTTTTGATATACATGTATTGCCAGGTGGGATAGCTTGATTGCGGGTGTAATGGTGTCTAATATAGTACATGTAGGAGGTAGAACTAAATTCAGGTTGAGGAACTTCTGTAACATTGGTCATAGTGATAAATAATACATAAATTTTCATAGATCCAAAGCCAAATATTACAATTTTTGATCAGCCAGTTTTTGTGCTGGTAGCCTTATAAACAAATGCATTGACCAAGAGCTATTAAGGGATATTTTTGTCATTTTAAAAAACATGTAGTACACAATCCAGCTATTGAAGAAGAATAGCAACTTTTGTTTTTGTTTTTTTTTTAAATATACAGTATATATCATTATTCATTTTTTTTTTTCAACTGATGAATGTATCTGGGATCAGTCTATGAATATGTCATCACCATGACCAATATTTTTGGCTTAAGCTGTAGAAAAAAAAAAAAAAAAACACAGATTGAAATAAACCTCTGTAGATGAACACCACAGGCATCAGTTTTCCCTCTCCAGAGGCGCTTAATGGGGTATCCATTGTGCCCAAAATTCCCCTTTCTGTTGCCATGGAAACAAAATTTACATATTTCACTCAGTCCTTTTTTAAGGATTATATCTTTACAACAAACAGTTCACAGATGCATTGCTGCTGTGCAAAAAGTAGCACATTTATAACAGACGTACAAAATGCAGCCAAATAAACCACATTTAGATGTATTTGTTTACATACACTGCATGAAGCATCAATTTTTATTTATTTTCCCGATATTGATCCACAAGGCCCATTGTTAGTAGAGAATTTTAGTTAAAACCTAGCTAGGAAGGCTTTTAAACTTACACATCAAGTAATTTGCTACAATAAAACATATTTGTACCTGTAAAATCGTCTATCTTAGTGTTTCATCTACCTGTGTAATTATCATAACAAGATATTCTATACAAAACATGTACAATTTGTGCTTCACAGCAAATATAAACCAAATACATTGTACATGTATTTCTATTCAAGTTGAAACTGAAATAATGTGTACACAACACTTATTCCAATGAAATTCTAACATACCTCTCAAATGTATGCAAGTGCAATCTTTGAAAAGCAAAATTTATCATTAAAATTTATCATCTCTTTCTAAACAATAATGTTGAAGCCATGTATTCAACATTTATGTTTGAAACAATGATAACAATACAGTTGCTGATCTTTGTTAAAAAAATCATGTCTGACCTTGGACTAAATCTTGACAAAATATATTGTCAGTTATAACAAAAACAGACAGAAAGTCCTCAAAAGAATATATCATTATCTTTGTTTCAAAACAATACAATGTTACTGAAAACAGTGAAGTGCAAAGCTAAGATTTTACAACAGTAAAATGTAAACTTAGATTTGTTTGTGAAGATTATTAGGATTATTTTAATTCCTGCAGTTGTATTAACAAATCACAAAATATAAATATCGAATAGTGCCATTGCACCTTTGCGGGAGATTCAATGTCACGAAAGCAAGTTTTATTACCTGATGGTCTTTAACCTCTGGAGAAACCTCTTCTTGTGTCTGTGGGTGTGAAACTTTGGATCCACTGATGCATTAGGGTCAAATTGTTCCAGGTCAACCAGTCCGTCATCTGGTAGAATTGTCTCCACCCACAGACGACAGACATTGTCTAGACAGGAGGTCACCAACATGTTTGCCACAGCTCCCCTACACATTAACATAGTCTATTAATAAAACTAGTCTTTTTCTAATTGACTTATATTACTAAACATTTTCATACAATTACATTAATGAAATCTCCCAAAGCTTTGTTCAAAATATAGACAAAAAATTCATAAAGTAACTCTTGAAACAAGTTTATTTAATTTCCGTATGATAAAAATCATAATTGTATAATTATGACAGAATATACACAGCATATTTTCTTACCAATTCACTGATAGTCATACACATATACATGTAAATGTCTTGTATTTCTTACCGGGGCATGTACTTGCTGGTTTTTCTCCATGAGAACCCTGTGACGGCCCTGGGGTGGGCAATATAAATAAAGGAGTAATGTTGTTCCTCTTTCTTAGGACTCACCACACTGTCACCCCTCATGAAGGGATACTGGTCTAAAAACAGTGTGTACAAATTCTAATAATTTAAACAAGTATGAAGAAAATGAATAATAAATTTTCAATGAGGAGACACAAAGGTCTACAATACAGTGTACACAAACAAAGCTCTAAACATAGCATCTTCCTTCAAAGAAAATTAGGAAACTGATATCAAGGTAATACATCATGAAATGCATTATAAAAACTTACTTTTTCTGTCTTCATACCATATCTTCACCAGTCTATCATTCTAAAGAGGGAAAGCATTGGAATTTCAATACTTACAATCTAGACACATTTTCTGACCAGTTTACATATTGTACAACAGAAATCCATAACTATACCTTTCCAGCCGAGGCAAACAGTAATCCATCCCAGGAGTATCTCAGATGATACACAGGCGTCGATGGTCTAAAGTGATACAGAAATAAAAAAGGAATTCCTCTTATGTGTATTAGTTTGCTCATTCAATGCAAGTTAACACCTACACTTCACCTTAATTAACTCCTTTTCATTGTGTTCATGTGATGCATTAAAATTTCAGGCACATATTGAAAGAAGGAAGTTTTGCTTTCTATTTGTACGTACTTGCACTTCCAGACACAGATCCACACTGTCTCTATCTCCTCATAAGGATCAAAGGACCCTCCGTCATCCTTATCATGCTTGTGGTCATCATCAGCTCCACCCACATCAAAATGTACAGTCTTAGATCCACCACTAGTTTCCTCATGATGCTCTTGGCTGAATGCCCAGATCTGTATAGATTCACCTCCAGTTAACAGTCTAGATCCTATAAAAATAACAAGTCAGTGTAAATCAATGGATCCTACAATAATAAGTCAGTGTAACTCACTAAAATCAATAGGTCCTACAATAACAAGTCATTGTTACTCAATACATTCATTAGATCCTACAATATCATGTCAGTGTAAGTCAGTACAATCAGTAGATCCTACAATAATATTAAGTCAGTACAACTCGGAAACAATTGATTTATCACTCAACGATAACAAGTCAGTGTTACTCTATGCAGTCAATGGATCCTTCAACAAGCTAGTGTAACTCAATCTAAACATCATCATTTGGATGTGATTTTCTATAAGCTGTTTTCCCTTGTTTGATTTTATATGTTTAATTTCAAATCTTCCTTTTTTTCCTCCTTTTTTGTTTGTCTAGTTTGGAATACTCATAATACTACATCTTTTTATTATCAAGTATTGTATATTACATGTCAATACATAAACTTAATGTATCTACAGATTTTGTTCTTCTTTGAATCTGTATCGTCCAATTGCACTGACATTGGTCAGCTTTATTATTAATGTAGCACCATTGAATATTACTTCAATGTAACGCAATTATATCCAATGTTTGTTCTAAGTGGCTTCAATTATCAGAATGAGAGTATTTTACAGGTAAGGCCAATAGTTTACCTTCAATGTTCCAGCTTAGACAATTAATGTAACAATCTGCCTCAAATTTCGCTGTCTGATACCATCTGTAATCTAGCTTCTGAAACAAAAAAACTCAGACAATGAATAAACCACAAAAAAGTAATAAGAATATGACCTAGAAAACTTAAAGAAAAAAGTAACATCACATCTTCATAACAATTAATATACATGTACATGTATTTCATTGAGCAAAAGTCATGCCCAGGTTAACTCGGATGAGTATGATAATCCATTAATTTTTTGTACATTTGATGTTCACTTTGATTTAAAGAAGAAAGAAAAAAATATAACTTAAGTAATTTTAGAAGTATAATGTATGTGAAATACAAATATTTCCTTATTTTCATGCATACATTAAGTATTTTATTGAAATCCAGCCACTGCAAGTTCTTTATGCGTAATCCCTGACCTTTAGCTTCTATATGTGACACATACTGTCTATAATGCATGCAAATATCTGATGCTTATTAAGAAGATGCATAATAATACATAAATGAATGTACCCAGTACAATTTACCCCAAACCATTCATTTCTTTTACATGTTGCATTCTATCCCTATTCATATACCTGAAGTTTTAGTAACTGACTTCAAATTTCCCTACAACCCAGTACATGTACTTCAAATGATGGACTCTTTGAACCCTTTCCCCAAGATCTAACACCACAAGTTAGTTTTCTCAGTAATTTATCTGTACGCTTTTTTTTATTAACCACAGTTTTTAATGTACAGTGATTTCTATAGGTATATGGATCTTTGAACTAAATTCCATCAAAAAAGAATCAAGGACTTGATAGCTTGTAAATAAGCACTTGCCTTACTAGATTCCAAGACTATATATGGAAATTTTACTGGTATTTGTAGATTCAGTTTGGCATTTGCTACATTTTTATGACTCTCATATCACTTTAAATTGAAAAAAAATTAATATCCTGGACAATTAATGATAGATATTTGGGAGATTCCCATTTTTATTGACAGCCAAACACAAGGTTTCTTTTTGTTCACAATTTTTATGGTTTCTTTAACTCATCAACAATAGGACATTTCAAAGAGAGCTATTTCACACATCCTTCTGTTAATAAGATTAAAATGTACCAGTAAAATGACTTGTGATTTTAAAAGGAGGCAAAATCATTTCTTAATGCATCTAAAAATTAGCTTTAAGCAAAGATTTCCCAGCATATGATTACCCGGTATTACAAATCTGAGAAAAAGTCAAATGTTGAAGGAAAAATATCCAAGTTGTATAGTAATGGGTTATTTGATAAAGCTTCCAGTGATTTTATATGGCCTTTTTTAAGACTTATATGATTGTGTAGTAAAAATTGTATAGTTTTCTTAACAAATCCAACCTCAGTCTATTTATTATAAAAAGTATGGTATGTTTATATATCTGGAAGTGAAATAAAGTTGATATGAACAGCAGATCACAAATGCTATAAGATATACTTTTTTCCATGCAGGACATAATTTCCACTAACTCTACCCTGTGGAAATGTGATCCTGTGAAAATAAATATATCTAAAAGTATAATGGTAGCAGATCGAGATGAACAATTTTGATTCATTTCAGACCATATTTTGTTATATTTGTTTAGTTTATGATAGGTTTTACACAAGGAATGAAAATCACTTTGCTTTTAAGCATGAATTCATTGCAAGCATGTATGCTATAACCAAATTTTACTGCATCTATTTAAGCGTGAATTAAAGATGAAATTGGGGTAGATTTTATAAGTGAAAAGATTATTAGTCAGGAAATAGTTGATTGGTAAAGTACAGACCTCACTCTGCTACAAGAAAGAAAACAATAATTTACAAAGAAAGAACAAATAAAACAGGGGATTAATTGACAAAGATTACATGCAACTAAAGATCTGCAAAAAAAGACTCAAGGTTATGATCTTCACATGACCAATATATGTAATCAAATCAAGGACATTGACTCCTTAAGAAAAAACTTTCAAGCAATTTATACTCTGTTTTTATAAATTTGATGTATGTTTATTAATATTACTATGGTCTAATGGACGTACATGTATATACTAATGGAATGTATGTACTAATGGGATAGGCAACTCTTTCAGTTAATTAGCCTAAAATGCCACACACTCCTCAAGGTTTAAAAAATACATATACCCCAATATTCACAGTTTAAAGTTTGATTTCTGAAAAAATTAATCTGTTCTTTTTATTTATAGAAATGGATTACTTTTCTAAAAATTAATTTTAAAGATACTTTGCAAAATAATCAATTTGAAAATACATGTATTCTATTACTATAAAGCCAACCAATAAATTCCGTTATTCTGCAATTTTTTTTAAGTATAGCTTTATTTTTTAATATATATATATGTAATTATACTACAGTAAGGAATATAAATGCTAGCAAATAATCTTCATCTTTTTTTTAAATATATAAAGGTTTTTTTCAGTAAAATTCAATAGGATTACTTCTAATTTAGAAACATATCACTGACCTAGCTTCGAATTCCTGCAACTTATGAGATACTGTAAACGTGGTTATACTGGCGAGTTGAAAAATTGACGATTTTTTGTTTACGAAAATTGACGAGTGTTCATTTTGACGAAATATTTAATCAAGAGTTTCAAATCTTTGAATTCACGGGGATACAAAGGCAGCGTCGGAATCACTAAAATTTAATTTTTATACAAACTATCTATGTGTGTAAGATTTTATTAAATAAATTGCCCTCTTGTAATTTGTTTTCATTATAAGCAGCCAATTGCTTGAGGTGACAAACTAGGTCAAGCACGGCGTGAGAATTACGCTAAGTTGCACATACAGTATTTGATACAATAATTTAGATTCAATGATTTTTTAAAATGTGATTATAAATGACTATGTTTTCATAACTAATTACAAAAGAAATTAACAGTGACTTTGATCTAGTTATAAAAGAAAAAAGCCGTTAAAATTTAGCGGTAAAGTTGTACAATGGTCAATGTCTGTTGTGACGCTATGTACATGTATATGATAAGAAGTTTGATGAGTGTAACTTTTGACGAGAAAAGAAAAATGTCAAAATAGTCAAAATTAGCACATCGTCAAAATTTCCACGTTTACAGTATCTCGAGACTTGAAAAGTTACCAATCCCATTAGTATATATGTCCTGATTTTTTAAAAAGAAATGTTCCAACTTGGAGACTTTCAAGTATTAAAGGACACCATGAATAAATTAGCATAAGAGACAATAAATGACTGAAATAAACTTATAACAAAAAATACCGTATAATCCCCATTAACCGCCCCTGCCCCTATAAGCGCCCCCTTAGGTCTTTTTCAATTGTCAGGAAATAAGGGCCCCCTGTACAGTGATTAAAATCAACAAGAATCGTATCCAAAAATAGAAGCAAGTGAAAATGAAACTTGTCTATTATCAAATTTCTCAGTGGAAAATAAATAATTTAGCATAATTTGGTTGGATTATCTTCACTTTATGTAAAGTTAGACATTATTTTAGTGGCTCCTTGCATTTATTATTTTTTTTTCAAAAGATTTTTTGAACTTAAAATATGACATTAAATATCATAAAGAGAATACCAAAATAACTGCCCCCTTTTTGCAATTTTTTTAAGCGCCCAGGGCGTTTATTAGGGATTATATGGTAATAATAATAAGAGGCTAAAATTTGAATGATTAATAAACTAAAAATTCATGAATGTATGAAATAGTTCTGAAGATTGAAATGTTAATAGCCAATTAAAGCAGTTCTTGTGAGAAATTAAGTACATCCAATAACATGTTAATATAACACAACATATTAGCTTTATGATATGTTCTAGAGTGTTACATGTACTATGTACAGTGTAATTATGCCAAAAAATTGTTATGACTGTAAATTCTAAGCATGTATTGATATAACTGCTTGTCTATGTCATATTATAAAGTTTTGATTGGTACCAGTATTATTAGTGTTGACAGGATATAGAAGATGCTTTAAAACAATGTACAAATTAAGTTACTAGATTTGACTATAATAATAACAATAAGTTTTAGCAGAATTAAAACAGAGATCTTCCTCTTACATGTGTACTCTCATGGTGACGTAATGGAGTTGGTTCAAATATGTAAACTTCATTCTGGTATGATGCTGCAATCTAAACAAAATATAAACAAAGAATTAAAAATTTTAAAACTTGTACTTCGAAAGAGTATGCACTCTTGTTCATATGCTAGCTTCAAAATTAATTGTACATCAGACAGTATCATATTTTAAAGTTTTATTCTAAAAATTACCAAAATCTGTAACCTCCGCTCTCATGCTATAAAGGGGAAAACAATTATATCATGTATATCAGATCAGTAGGGGTGAAACGATACGCCTCCTTCACGGTTCGATACGTATCATAAAATTTGGTCTCGGTTCACTTATTTTTGATACAATACATTTTGATAGAAGGAAATAAATTCAACTGTTGTTTTAAGCTTCATTTTACTTAATCTAGTCAAATAATTCATGTGCAAAATGGATAGAATAAATCACCTTAATTGATTTGACTGTTAAAAATCATTTTACAAACTTTAAGTCCACAAAAATTTACGTTTTTGAACTAATTACACAGAGAAGCATGTTTATACCTTATGCCAAACCCGACTGAATGACCATCCCGACCGAAAAACGAACCGAACCGAAAGTAAAGATTTTGTACCGTGTATCGAACCGAGAAAAAATACCGCGGTGAACCGTTTCACCCCTACAGATCAGAACAATTTTTAAAGTGAATGTATATAAGTTTTTGTAAATTGGCTGCAATAATCTGGATGTGAACGACCAGACAAGAAATCAAACCCAGTTCTTCTGGATCAAGGAAACACTTCATTGTTTTTCTTTTCTCCTCCAAACAGTTAATATTTATGGAATCCGGATAGGGCCACGCAGTTCACTATCGCATCATCGCACCATCGAGCTTTAGGTCGATAGTGCGATGAAGAGATAATGCGATGACGACGAAGTGATGGAGCGATAACGATGAAGTGATGGTGCGATAGCGCGATGACGATGATGCTATGGCGCGACAATGCGATGACGATGATGCGATGATGCGATGACACGATGGTGCGATGACACGATGGTGCGACAGTGATGACAGGATGGTGCGATGACGATGGTGCAATAGTACGATGACGATGAAGCGATATTCACAATCGCTCAATCGTGCTATCGCACCATCGTCATCGCATTATAGCGCCATAGCATCATCGTCATCGCGCTATCGCATCATCGCTTCATCGTTATCGCACCACCGTTTCATCGTTATCGCATTATCGCGCTATCGACCTTTAAGTTGATGCTTGATGGTGCGATAGTGAACTGCTTGGCCCTATCCGGATTCCATAAATATTATTATGATACTTGCTTTATTGTCTAAATAAAAGTAATTTAAGGCTTACTGCTAAAAATGTGTAAGGGAAATACATTCACTGAGAAATCATTACCTTTCCACTGTCTGTTGAGCAATCGATACAATTGACCTTGACATTACCATGAGTTACACCTGGTATAATCTGAACTCGCTGGAAGTCGCTCGCCAAAATCACAATGTCACATCCTGCTGCATAGGCCTACCAAAAAAGTTTCATTGAGATTAGTCATAATTGCATTTTACACTACTGCTAGAAAATTATCAAACAGTTGAGATAAATCTAATTAATCAAGTAAAAAAGAATTCATAAATTGAAAATTTATGAGGTTATTTAGGAGGGGGTGTAAGATTAATTAACTTGCTAATTTCTATACTAAATTACATAATGATTACAAATTTACAAGCAATTTATCCAATCTTAACAAAATCCACTGCATATACATGGCAAATTACATTAGTTTGACACTTACATTTCTAAGTGTAAGTCCAGCTGAACTACAGCCCATTTAATTTTTACAAGTTCAAAGCATTTTTAATATTTTTTTTCAAATAGAAAAATCAATGTTTTGTAAAAATTACTTTGAAAATTAATATCATAAAAGTAAACTCTGTGTTTTACAGGCGTGGATCCAGGAATTTTTTCCCAGGAGGTCCACCCCAGACAAAAAATCTAATCCAGAAATTTGTTGACAAGCAAATAAAAAAAAAAAAATACACTCGCCCAAGCATAAAAAATGAAGTACCCTTTTCGGGAAGGGGAGGGGGTAGGCACTGACTCCTATGACTTTTCATACCATAAATAGATCTGCGTTCTCAAGGGGGAGGGGTCTGCATTTTCTAGGGGGTCCAAGGTCACTTTTTACATGGTTAAGTATATATTAAATTCAAGAACTCCAGGGGGTGTGGGAGTCTGGACCCCCAGACCCCCTCTAGATCTGCATGTCTTACCATGTTTACAATTTAATATGGAATATTAGAAAGTTTTATTTTAAAACAATTTTTTCTTACCAATTAGTTTGCGTTTTTTGTTTGTAAAATAATCCTTCTAATAAATTTCTTCTGGTCATGTAAATGAAGTGACTTAATTTGAAAGAAAATTTTAATAAAAAGAACAAAAACAACCCTAAAATTGTTTCCTTTAATCAAAATGTTTGTATTGAAAATGGTGAAGAGGGCATATCGTTTCAACCCTACTTCCCTTGTGTTGTTTTAGTATTTTGTATGACTTCTTAATAAATGATTGTTACAACTACAAGTTGAGAGAAATGCTCCTGTGAAAGCTGTTATGTTCTTCTTGTGCAATCATTAGGAGCCTAAACATGTTTCTTCAATATGTTTATGTTTGTTGATAACTTGAGGTTTATTAAGGCTTACAGTACTACTGACTTTTTATAAACTTGGAGATTTTTATTGACATGGCAATTTCAAAAATAAATATTTCTCAGTGAAAAAATTATCTTGTCCGATTAGTGAATACAGAGATGTTTTGACTTCCCTCATTCGGCTATCTTCTACGTTTTAACCTTACATCCCTCCAAATTAAGATATCAACATTAGATTACTGTTGGGAAAGTGTAATTCCCTTATTCAATAATGCTAATTAACTCTGTCATCAGATATAGCTAATTCCAATAGACGATTTCCTATACGTTATACATTATTGACAAACGAGACACCGCACACCTCCCTTCCCTGCTTCTGTTGTGTCGTTAGACCTACCGTAAAATGGACGCCCTCTACGCTTCCAACGGCATAACATTGGTCTCCTGCATTGCATGCTCCTGTTAACACTTGGTGCCGGTTCATATCAGCCGTAAAAGCACCAAACTAAACGCAACTTATGCTGTAAATAAAAGTACCTGAATCATCTGACACATCGCCATATTGGATTGATTTCTACGAGGGAGATAACTCGTACATTTTCATGATGACATTTAATTAATTCGTTCTTTGAATAGTGATTTACAAATAAATCAATAAATAGTCTTAGGCGATGTTTCTAGCTTGAAAATGACCGTTCATATTGTTTATTAATATAAATTTAATAAAATTTGTGATAGCAAACATAAAAGTTCTTAAAAGTGAGTGAACTAACTATCTTCGCTAGCCAAGGGTTTCCAATACGCTACTCTCCTCATGAACCCTGATTATGAGGAGAGTAGCATATCAGAAACACTTGGCTAGCGAAGATGGTGAATTAACATAAATGAGTGAGGAGATGAACTTCACTGGACAAATTTACCCATCTCCTGAAGCTTAACTTAGGCTTTAACAGATCATCCACTATGAATTATTTATTTTGGATCATATATTTACTTACATTCTTTCCATAGAAACGTATGTCTGACCACTTCAATTTATCATTTTCCCTCACCACTCTTCAGACGGACGAAAACAAAAATCCCATATATATGCGTACAGTTTTTTTTTCCTTATCAATGCTCTAGCTGGAATACGACTCAATATACTTTATGGTCAATAAGAGTTTGTTAAATGTCATGACTATTTACTCCGGTAAATGACTGCACAATTGTGTATGTCAAGATTTCCTATAGCTCCACCAGCAAACTTTATGGAAATTGGAAGAAAATTGCTGAATAGCGTGAAGGAAAAATAGGAAGTCGCTTCGGAAACTCTCTCTCTCTCTCTCTCTCTCTCTCTCTCTCTCTCTCTCTCTCTCTCTCTCTCTCTCTCTCTCTTCTTAAAAGGAATGTGGTATGGTATTTTTACACAAACAATTTCAAGAGAAATATTAATTTTGTTTAAATATTACAACAATCTGAAGTTTTTGGTTTTAGTCTTTAACACACGATTTTTCCTGAAAAAGATTGATTTTTAAATGTACTTTTTTGCAAACTAAAAAGTTTTAATATAAATAAATGTAGGATAGTGATCTGCCTTTATAATTAACGAAAATTAATATATTTTTTTAATGAATTAAGGTGTTCTTTACATTATATTAGACAAAGGACAAAAAAAAATATTTCAATATTTTGCATTTGGAATGTTGTCTAAATATTTCTTGCTACATAGGCCAAAGGTGAAGTTTTCGTTTTAGTGAAAACAAGCAATACAAAAATTTGTATATTTGTTAATCTTAAAATGCAATTTTGCATAATTTAAAGTTCCAAGTTATCGATCTAAGCATCGATCCCGGTACTATATCAAAGGTCTTGAAAACAGCTGCTTATTTTATTGTTAGGCCTGGTAAATCATTACGTTTATCAATAATGCACACGATTAAACAACACAAAAATTAATTACCAGATAAGGATTAGCAACAAAAGCAAAAATCAATTTTTAAGTGTATTTTTCATTTGTTATAAACATTGTATATATAAATAACTTTGCTTGCTTCGGCACACGGAACCGATTGGTTTCTGACCTTCAGTCTGAAAAGGTGCACGTGCACGTATGAAGAATTTTTTTTAATCACAGATTCATATAACAGGAACACTTTTAAATTTTAAGACATTTTTGTTAATTTTTTGAAATTTCTATCGACTGCTGAATTCTTGCTAAAGTGGGTCGAAGTTCAAAGTTCATCCTCAAAAGAGGTCAAATACGTTGGTACATGTACCCAAAAAAGGCCTTGTCATGATGAATATGAATGTGAAATATGAAAGCCATAGCTACAACCAATCAAAAGTCACTGGCGGACAAACAGACAGCTAGACAGACGAACAGGGCAAAAAAACTATGCCCCAAATATTTCGATAACGAGGGCATAAAAACATGTTTTCTTTAATTTTTCATATTTTTTTTTCAAAGATTTTTTAGATACTTAAGTTGTCACATTTTTTCTAGTTCCCTATATTAAAACTACATTATTATAGCTGCTACGATTTTGAACTATAAATTAACTATAGTTCTGGTTATATTTTGATTCCCAGACTGAACGAAAATGCTAACCAAAGCTAGATACATGGTCTCTTGAATGAAATTTTTCGATGCTGTGATGGGGGTATTCGCCAAATGATGACTAAAATATTTCAAACAGTTTATCTACAAATTATTTTATCTACAGGCTAATCAAGAAAACTCATCTTCTTATTCTCCCAAAAGAGTTTTAACAAATTATTTTGTTTTCACGCGAGAACATTTACATCCACTGAATATTTTTCCTTTATTTCTTATGAAGACCATTGCCATTAACCAGTACATAAACACACTAGGTGAGCCACTTGGGTAGATTTCTTGGACAACGGCTGTTCCATCAGTTATGCATACAATGACATATTCATCTATAATATAATATTTAATATATTTAATTTTACTTTTAATGTTTTTTCATACAGATAAAAATATAAACAATAAAGTTTTTTTTTTCTTTGTTTGTTAGTATGGAATAAACGTCATGTTGAACTTTTGCAGAAAAAAATTACATAACCAGCGTAAGCGGACTACATCCATGCAGGTTATGTATTTTTCTGCAACAGTTGCAACAGTAATTCCCCTATTAACAAACAAAGAAAGCATTTCATTATTTAATTGAGACAGATGTATGCGAAAGACGATTGACAATTTCAAAAGGAAAGTGTGTGTCGTCAACGATATCTCAAAGGTTTTATATTTATTAACAAAATATTGAATTATAATACGGATTTATTTTTCAACATGAACCAAATGTTTAATATCAGTTATATAAATAATCTTTCATATAATAATGTCTAACGTTTGCACAGTGGCAACTGCACACTTCATGTATATTAAATAAACAATGTACATTTAGATCAGCTCAAGATAGTCGTGTTTGCTATCATCCGTGGGGTACCGAAATGCCGTTTGTTGTTTTTGTCCTGGAGTTAATGGCGGGGCCGTTGGAGTCAAAAGGACGTCCAGTTTTGGGGATGTGGACTCCATATCATACTCCACAACAGAATATAACGAGGTTCTTTTCTCCCTCTCAAGTTGAAGCGTAAGTTCAGAAACCACCGAGCTTTGGCGATTGATTTTCTCTACAAAGTACAACTCACTCTGTTGTCTACGAAGCTCCTTTGTCGTTGATCGCCACTTGAAGACGAAAATCACAACGAGAACAAGAAATAAACACAAAACCGTCCCAAGTCCCACAAAGATAGCCATGTATCTCTCTGGAAAAGACGTTTCATTTGCTACTTTGTCTAAACTTGATCTGGAAAGATTTCCCAGCCCCATGGTTGATGTTATCTCAGCATATCTAATAACTGACTTCGTCCCATCCTTATAAATTATTTCAGTTGTCGAGTTTAAAGTTTTCAACAGAGAGGTAGTTGATCGTATGACGTCACCTTGATCCGTTTTTGAGGTAGTTGAAATGTACGTGTTCGGTTGGTTTCTCGTGGTTGGTAACAATGTTGCTTTAGCCTTTTCCAATCCTATGTTTTTCGTGGGTCTCATGGTGATATACTCCTGTCCATTGGGATACTGGAACTGCATGTTTAACCCTGGGGTGTTTGGTGTCGGTATCTTGAGGTTAGTCTGTGGTGAATCTAAAAATGAAAAGGTTGCAGAATATATTGAACAGTCATATTGAACAGAAAACAGTGTTTGAAATATATTGTAATATATTGATAAGTTATTTAAATCTCGTTGCTTTAGAGTTCTTTGGAAAATATTATTATTATTAGCAATTTCAGTTTTTGTTTCGGGGGGGGGGGGAGTAAATATTTTAAGTTGGGGGCACTAAAAAGATACCAGAAATTCCTTGACAAGCAAGAAAAAAGGTCATCAGACGTTTTTATTGAGGAACACAAACATATTGTATAGCTAGTTTTCTATAGTATGCTATGTATATCGGAAAAATATCTGCCCCCCCCCCCCCCCCCCGGGTTCCTATGGCCATGAAGAAATGCACTTACCTGAGTTACAGCTACAGACATAACATCCCAGAGAGTTAATATGAATCTGACAAGGACAATGCTCATTTGCTGGAAAGAAATCAATGTGCGTGTGTTTTAGATGAAGTAAATACCAACTACAAGAAGAGAAAAACCCTAAAACAAACAGAAGAAAATGTTTTTTTTTTTTTTTTGGTTTTTTTAAAAGAATAATTTGAACGTGAATTTAACGACTTTTACCTATGAACCCAGTTTGCATTGGATTTCCCATAGGAATATTCCCGTAAAAGCTATTTCCCGTTCCTAAGCACTCCTTTCCTAGTCCCCCACTGTTGGCGACCATAGGGTTAACGGCGTGCATGGAATTCTCCAGGAGATGGGGAAAGAATTTGTTTACGTCCAGGTCCATACCATTTCCAACAACTTTGAAATACATAAATAAAAATTATGCAGATTTTTATACACTCGTAATACTGAAAATTTTCCTATAAACCAATTCCCACAATAAATTACCTTGTCCAAAACTAGTTTCTTTCAGATGAACAAAGATTGTTAAGAAAACTGCTAGGAAATACATTGTAAGATTCATTCCAATTTTCCACCTCTCTTTGTCAAGTTCCATCCATTGTTGTCAATTTTGCTGTGTTAGGCCACACAAAGAGAATGCATTGGCTTCTAACTGTAAAGCCATTCCTCTTCCCAAAACGAGAACATGACTTACAAATATCTTTATGCGAATCATGTTCAAATCATTTCCTTTTGTGTATTAAACTATGGAATAAAACTTGTATTGGGCAAGAATAAAAAAAAGCGAACTTTAATGCTGATAATATTTCAGTGATTTTTGGTGCCACATAACACTTAAAACAAACAAATACTGATAATTGCCCTTGCCTGTACTCTTAAAGACAGGTGCTCCAGTACAATTGATAAAGGTACAGCTAGAACGAATTCTTAAGGAGATAAATAGAATCTTTACCAAATTTAGTTTTTAAATTTATAAAAATGTTAAAAATATATTTATAGGAAGGTTATGCAGTTTGGCCTTAAAATAATGATTTTTAAGGCAATACCCGATTAAGATAGGGTATTATATAATAACACTGTGTTAGTATCGAACTGTTTGGCTAAAATTATCACTATTATCATATTTTGTGGTTACGATGACTTCTAAAAGTAAATATTCATCAGGTCCACAGAAACATTCTGTAGAAGATTTCCGATGATGAGATAATGGAATATTTCTATAAATACAGAGATTTAGAAGTTGGTCGTAGAAATATTCAAAAAAAAAATACAAACTTCTTTGTTCAACAGATTTATTAAATACGGAGTTTTGCAGTGATTTGGAAAGAATTAAATGTGAAGAGTGATGGTTAACATTTTTAATGTCCAAATAAATGTAAATTGACAGAAAACATGTTGTGCAAGGCGATAAAAAAAAAACAAGAATGTACAGCTGTGTTGCAGAAGGCAATTATACACTTCAATAGAAATTTTTACATGCATTAAAACTGTAAACAAATAAAAAAGGGAATTCAAAATGTGCCGTCTCTTAAAATAATAAAAATAAAATGTCCAAACCACTTTTAAAATTTACAATGACTCCTGATAAGAAGAGCACAGAAACAAAATTTGTTAGACTACTGACGGATAAGTTGCTGTTACAGGGATTTCAACACTCTCGTTTCAAATCGGCATTTCTTAAAAAGTCGCTATAATGAACTTTTTAGCAAGTATACCCTCATCTTCGCTAGCCAAGGGTTTCTGACACGCTACTCTCCTCATAAACCCTTGGCCTACGGTGAAGTCAAAAGATAGGATTGTTTTCCGTCACGTGATCTGACTATCAGGTACGCACAGATATCGCCAGAAATAAAGACAAGTGTTAAAAAAAATTAAATCTGTTTTTTTCAAGAATAATTAAGAAGCAATAATTGAGTTATGTTCATTTATAATGTATAGAACAAATCTGAAGCTTCATTATATATTCTTAATCACATATTTAGAAGATATTGGATGACACCATGGCTATTCATAGAATTGAATGTTATCTTACGGATCGTTGTTTAATTTCCGAGATTAAATAGTGAAGATGTATCCCGAACGCAAATATCATCATTTACGAAAAACAATTGCTGATTGGTCGACCTGGGTGTACTGAAATCCAATCAGAACTTTGGAAAAAAATCCCTATTTCTATTAACACCGTAGGCCAAGGGTTTATGAGGAGAGTAGCGTATCAGAAACCCTTGGCTAGCGAAGATGGTATACCCTATTATTGGGTAGTTTACATTTTGACTGATTTGTTTCATAACAATTGTTAAGTCTTTGTTTTTATACTGAAATTGGCTACGGAATGTTCCATCTACTCTAGCTATCAATACATAGGGCTCATAGCCGATGAGACTGGTCAATAGGGAATGCTTACTTCTCATAAGCATTTAATCCAACCTCTGGAATATCCAAGGGTCTGTGTTTCATGCCCTCTTCATGCTCTTCACATACATGATGTACATGTATTTGTTTATACATGTAGATATTTTTTTTTTCATTTCTTAGTTTTACCTCTAATTGCAGTAACAAGGAAGACAATTTAAAATATTTTTGTTTAATGATGAAAATGGAAGGTAAAACAAATTTTAGAAATAGTTCGTACATGTACCAGGTATGTAGAATATGCCTTTGCGTATTGAATCAACTAGGAAAAGAAAACCTCTGTCTCTACTTGTCCTGCCCTGCACATGATTTATTTTCTAACTGCACCAATCAATGAACCAGTAGATTTATGTCAAAATAAAGTATTTTTACTATTTGTAATTTTATCTCGGACAAAGCATTGGAAATGTAAATATATTGGTAAAGTAGGTTTAAGTATGTGTAATGTACTGTATGTGTATTTTCAACTGTATGACATGGTTAGTTTCTTTGATGAAAGAAAGAATTGCTGAAAGAAGTGGTTGAACTAGTTTAAGTCACATCTAATGAATTGATTATATACGAAACACCTTCGCATTAAAGCAGAAAATATTTTATGGATGTAAATATTATTATACAAGCAATAAGAATGTTGAGATGTTAAGATTTTTTATCACATGGAACTTCAAAATCTAAAGATAAAATTCAGTTAATAAATTAATTTGTAGGGCTCACATAAATACTAGCAAAGGTATTTTAATGTTGATTCTTATTTTTAAAACTCTAATAATAAAAGGGGACTGAAAGAATTACATCAGGCCAAATTTGTTGTAACTATAAAGCAAATATTTATTTTACATGAAATACAATATATTGAACGGATATAACAATAAAATAAAGCAAGAGGAACACATCTTCTTTTTTTCTCATGTACCATTTTCTAAACTGTCACCGCCACTTGGTTTATGGTTTGATCCACCACTTTTCAGTTCTTTTATTATGCTTGGAGAAGAATCTGTTTCATTTGATAATAGCTTTTCATCTGACTGTTCAGCATTTATAGAAGCTTCATTGATACCATTTTCCTCCACTGAATCAGTATTTTTCACTGCACAGTTTGACTTGAATTGTTCACTAAGCTCTGCTTGGTCCGTTGGTATATGTTCTGTATTTAATTTATTGGCACCGTTCTGTAGTTGTTCTGAGTCCTGTTTATTTTCTGTAGTGTCAGTAACACTAACTTTCACTGGACATTTCTCTGCGTGATCTTCTTCTTCGCTGTTTTCCAGTATATTGTACACATCACTACATGCTGAAAGAAATATAACAGAAAAAAAATTAAATATGTATTTACATGCATAATAATTAAATCTTTTATTATTGCCTGGAAATTCAAATAGTAGAGGTGGCATGTTTAGATGCAATAAAAATGCTCATGTTATTTTGGATATGACCCCCCCCCCCCAAGAAAAATCATTTCTGTTAGAAAAAATGCAGATGCAATACCCGAATTAAAATGATTGAATATGCAAAAAATTGTAATTAAATATTGAAAGTTTCTAACTTCTATTTCTTACCAGCAAATGCCTCTGGATATAAGGTTCCCAGCCTTTGTTTCAAGGTCCTATGAAATATAATTGAAAATTGAGTGCTAAATTCATTTTAATAAAACAAAGAACATATACAGTCAATTCTCGAATTATCGCCATTCGATTCATCGCCATTTTCGCAATACCACCATGATTTCCCAAGAACGTTTTTCCTGCTATATAAAATTCTCTTTATAACACCAAATTCGCATACCGCCATCCGCCACCCTGTTTTCACAACAAACGTCCATTTTTTAGTGTCAATTATCTCGATATACCGCCACAGGTGCGTGTGGTCAGTGAAGCGCGGCTAATTGATTGACACTATCCCTGTTGTAAAGCATGCAAAGGCAGACAGGGTACCTGTAATTAAGTAATTAAACAAGAACTAAATAAACAAAGATTTTAACATGAACTGTTATAATAATTTTGTTTACTGTTTAATAAAAATCATTTAGTCACCATGGTCACGGCTTTGCGACGAAAGCGGTCGTTGTTAAAGTACGCCGATAACTATATAATTTAGATGATCTCTGCTTTAAACATTGCAAAGTTTGCTGAAAAAATAATTATACGGTATAAATTGTGAATGTTTTATTAACAATGTTGCCATAAACTTTAAATTTATTCAAGAATTCATTTTACTTACTATCGGCAATATATCACGATGATCGGATCGACCCAGCACGTTGTCTTTTTTTTCAATAGCAGAACTGCAGATTTAAATGCACACCCATGTACTTGTCTTTATTTCATAACTGCACATTTTGTTTTAGCGAATTTGTACATTAAAAAAATTACTTGAAGTATTTTCAATCAGTTTTTATATACATGTACATGTAATAATAAGGATAGAAACGCTTAATGGCATTGCTAACAACAGTAACTCTACTTCTTGTTTTCCAGAAGATGGGAAATTCAATTCATCGCCAAATTCGTTATACCGCCATGATTTATAAATTACAAAGGGTGGCGGTTTATCGAGAATTAACTGTACATGTATAGATCTCTCTTTCTCCTTAACAAAATATAAACCTTATTCTCCTAAAGATGATATCTAGGTCTGCCTTCATTTGTCCAAGAACTTGGGTATGTTGTCGGAATTCTTGTGTTGTTGCCTCACAACGGGCGGATGACAGCATATTGAAATTGATTAACATTTCATTGGTTTTCTCATATCTAGCCAACCTAAATTAAGAAAAATACCGAGTCAGGAAAATTAAAAATACAGTACAGCTGCAACAAAGTAGTTTCAAGCAATCAGATACCATACAGTGTACTGATGTACTTGTACATAAATCATTTCATCTGAATATCATTACATTAAATTGATATATTTCAAAGTTCTGTTTAAAATGTACTGTATTAATTTCTGGCATGTCTCTCAACAATTACAATCATTAGCAAAGAACATACAAGGATCATCAATTGGTCATGTCATAAGTTTATACAATGTTTTAGTACTTAATATGTAAAGAAATGCATAAATCATACAGTACAATTACGCATATTACACGGAACCAATATTTTTAGAGGAAATTCGAATTATGGTCTTTGTCACCATTGTACGCCCCCTATTATTTTTACTTACATGTCTCGTTGAAGCTGTACCATGGATTGTACATCTTCTTTGTTTACTTGTTCAACAAGTGCCTCTGTAAAAGCCCTAGAGGGTTCAATCGATATTTCATCCTCATCATTCTCTTCCGTTGTTGTTGACATTTTGCCGCTATGAAAATATTCGGGATCGGCATTCCAAAGAAATACTCGGTTATTTCCCTTCCGACAGACGACTTCCCTATTTTTTAAGCAGTCGAAAAATGACTAGATTTGCTGTATTTAAGGACTGCAACAGCACTTTATTTGCTGTTTAATGATCTGTATATGATAAAGACTTTAGTCATGTCATTTGAAGAGTTAGAGCAGGTTTGTGTTATTGTTTCATCAACAAAAATAGTCTTTAATTTGAATTGCCTCAGACACGCCTACTTAAAATAAGGAATCATTCAAAGTAATTTAAGCACTAGATAGATAAGGTTTTCAAATTTTACTGATGCAATTTTAGTATTTTGATGATTGAATATTTGCTTTGCATTCATTGTTTGTGACATACACTGTGAATAGTTACTTTCATAATTTATTTTTACAAGGCTATCGAAATTCCATTATCCATATAGATCTATTCAAATAAAAAAAGTCAACTTCCAACTGAAACTGGAATAGTGTTTTTGACTTGAATTGCAGTGGTTGCTCCACAATAGTTTTGTGACATAAAGGCATTGGAAAGTAGTGTTATATTTTGATATTTTTTAAAATAATGTGTTTTATTTAATAAGTTATTCTTTGATTTTTTTAAAACTAATTTTTAGGAACCATTTAATGCACATGAATTTGTTGAGAGATTAGCTTGGAAAACTATTGGAAAGAAAGCTCGGAACAGTTATGAAAATTTTGATCCATGGAGTCTGCATTCAGCATTTGAACAAGCAATCAAAGACCTAGAGGAGAAAAACAAACAGATTGAAAGAAACATTGAAAAGTTAGAGCATTCCTGTAAGGATGAAGAGAAGAAGCACTGGCAAAGGGTGGCTGACTTGCAGAGAAGGAATCAGGTAGTGGCAGGCTAAGCAACTTTTTTTGCCTTCATTGATAATTATTTCTAGAAAAAAATGAACCCAGAAATGAGCCTTAGACAAGACCAGAAAAGGTTCCAAGTTATATATAAATATGTTAGAGACCCTGTCAACAATTTGGACTAATTTATTTGGTTCTTGTAATTCTTATAATAAATGTATGTATTTGATAAAAACTTTCTGAATAAATAAAGACATTATAAATTTTGTCATGAGAATTCAGGAAGTAAAAACCTCATCTACATGGTCTACATAAATTTGAATTTTATTTAATGGCATAGAAAACTTGTCATTTATTGTTCTTTTAGTATTATTATTTTTGTTTTGTTTGCTTCAGACATCATACTCCCACTTCCAGTCTTTGGATGAAAGAATTAACTTAGTAGCCACTAAAGTTGTTCACTTAGGGGACCAGCTCGAAGGAGTGAACACACCCAGAGCTCGAGCTGTAGAGGCTCAAAGACTTATGAACTATTTGAATGAGTTCATGTCTGATGAACCTCCCAAATCAGCTGTCTTCACAGATCCATTCCAGGTGATTCAACATGATTTTTTTTCAACAATCAGGGGAATTTTTTTTTTAAACAATCAGGGGAAGAATTATTCCATATGTATAAATGTAATGTGCATGATTTCACAAAGTAATACATGTATTATTTTAGCATTGGAAATATCAGTAATTTACACATATATTCAAATATAGCTGCAATAATGTAGTCATCTCCCCCCCCCCCCCCCTTTTATTCTTGGGGGGCCTCTCCAGAAAACATCAGATTAAAAAAATCTGAGAGGGCTACATAATTGCAGCTAATTCAAAAAGCACAATTTAAGCAATGATTTAAAAAAAAACCCAGACACCTTTTATATTCACAATGATATGTAAATATAAGAAAACAGTCTTGTTTTTTTGATAAATGATTTACATGTAAATGTTCTAGATTGGATTCTGAAGGCATTGTACATGTAATTGTAAAACTGTTCAGTTATGTGTTGAAACTTAAATTTATCTGGCATAATGTTTTAATGAAAATTTTTATACTGCTTTCATTTAAGTTACAACTGGCTGCTGACATAATTCAGAAGTTATACCAGATTGCCCTAGAATTACCTGCAAATGATAAGTAAGTATGCTGTTTATTTCAAATTTTACTCTGTGACCAAATAAGAAAGAAAGAAGGAAATAACCTTTAAATAAACAAAAAAAAGAAACATTGCATTTACAATTATTTTTTTCTACAACATCTGAAGTGTTTTTGAATGTTATTTTTCAGATTTGACAGAGCACGTAAAAAGATTTGGGGTATGTAAATCAATGCCGTATTAATGCCCGGTAGTTATAATGTCATTATAATGTTTCATAGTTCCTCCTGCTTAGCCAGATTTTTCATGAAATACAATGTCCTTCTGACTGTTGATGCAAATTAGTTATCTTTCATCAATTTAAAGTTAATGGTTGATTTGTAATGACAAGATATTATTATAGTTATAGTTGAAAAAAAAACCTGATGAAATAGACTAGCAGAGACAAAAACAGAATATGTACAAATGCTATCAAATAAGTTTAACCATAGATTTTAATAAAAATACACTTTTTAAAAGATAAGTATAACTATGTGGAGTCGGAGCTGATTGTGGAATTCAAAAATGCCCATTCTGATGGAGATAAAAGGAAGATGAAGAAGGTGGCAGCTGTGCTGTCTAATTTCAAGGTCAGTAGGTCAATTCTATCCATGCCTTTAACTTAATGAGAACGATCATAAACTAAGCTGTTAATAAATGCAAAATGATTACCGGTAGGTGAATCAACAGGATAAACTTCTTATATTATGAATAAACACTGCATCTACTCAATATAAGTGTCAGAAGTCATGGATATTTAAGCAAAAGTGAATATTTTACTTTTAAACTACAAATTACATACATGCATAAATGTATCTTTCATTCCAGGGCTATGGGCAGTGTATAGAGACTTTTATCACGGAGTCCCAGAAGGGGGCGTACCTGAAGCCGGACCCTTTTGATGACGTCCTCCCTCTCTGTGTCAGGTCCAGTGAGATGATCAGTGATGTGTTCAGTAATCCAGACATGGTGATGGTGAAATTAGTACAGAACATTTACCATGGCAAGCTACAGGTGAGATTCTGTACATCATGTATGATCTCAATATTGTTCTTTCTGTTTGATCATTTATTGATTCAAGTTTTGAAATTCCACCTAAAATGCTAGGAAAATTACTGATTCAATTAAAAAATAACTCACATTTATGAATTTGGGATAAAAAGACCCACATCATATACAGTTATTCAGTTATTCCTTAGGCAATCAGAGAAAAAGATGCAGTGCTTCATTTTGCGAAAAACTTTTTAAGATACATGTACAACAAACTGTTGAGGAGGAGCAATTATTTTGTTCCTACAAGTAATGCACTCTCTTTGACGTTTGTTGTTCCAGTTCTCTTTAAAAACTGTTAAAAATGTGTAGGAAGCATTTTACATTAGCTTGTGTTTAGTTATTCTGAGCAAGAAGCTCAAACAAGTTTTACAGATCAGATTACATATCTGTCATATGTTACCCGTCTTTCTCTAACTATATACAGTATCTATAGTTTTAATTGGAAAATACTTTTAAAATCCTTTCTAAACAATCAAGCAACAATTAATTATATTACATATACATGTAGTTTGAATCTTTACCATGAAATGTAGATTATTAACTTTAATTAAGCTAAAGTTTCTCAAAAAGCCTAAATTTCTCAAATTAATTTGTTTTCATCATTATTTGGAATGTGACAAATTTATCAAGTATGGAGTTTGAATTCATAAAAAGTTCATAGTGATTTACCTGAAAACTTTTAAACTATTAAAACTAACTACATGTATGTATTTTTTAGACTCACATTTCCTCTAAGCTGGATCACCTGGATGACCCAGAGGAATACCTTGTACAGCTTTATCAGTTGTACACGAGGTATGGATCATTTGCTTTATTCACAAGAAATCCCTCAAGTAATACTTAATGCAATTAACACTTGTGAATCTGATTTCATGTAAATATTACCCAGAAAAAAGTAAACATATTTTTCCTTTAAAAAAGTTAATTTATTTCCTTTTTTTCCCATGGATAATGCATTTTTTTTATACAGAACAGTGAAGCTTTCAGAGGAGTTGTCCCAGTTTAAGATGGGGAATGACAGTTTCTTTCTCACCAAACTCACAAAGCAAAGTTTTGCAAAACATCTCGAAGCCTATATCGGGTAATGCACAAATCCACTCCAGACTTGCTCATTTTTGTTTCAATTACAGACATAAAATGGATGAAGTGTCTGACTATTTAATCACTGTAAAAGACATTTAATTTCTGTGTAATATGGTAAAATATAATGTTTTCCAGATCAGAAACAAAATATCTGAAAGAGAGATGTTCAGCTCATCTGCAGAGATATTATGAAGACACAAATCACATTAAAAAACAGATTCAGTCTGGAGGGTGAGTTACATATAATTTAGACATTTGAACAAAAACCAGTGTAAAAAGTACCTGTCAATATGGTTCTAACAGCTGTTTATCATATATACCTGGTAAATATATGTTTTGCTTTTCAGGTTGGTAGATTTTAAGAGAGATCTGCAAGCCAAGATAGGCACTCTTACCAAGGCAAATGTAAACATTGGTCCAGCTGTGGAAAACTATGGTGGTGAGACCTTCCTCTCACAAGAAGTGACCATTAGCTTGTTACAGGAGGCCAAGAATGCATTCAAACGCTGTCATGTAGTGAGTTGTTAAAGACCATTCTTATTGTGTGTAGTCTTTTTAATGTATTGTTAGAGATATGAGCATTGAGAAAACTGAGAATTCATTTCTCTGTTATACTGCATTCTGTTCTTGTCTGTGGACACTTATTAACTTCCTATCAAAAAGTGTTTACTGAAATTGAGTATCTAGTACATGTATTACCCGGTATTGATGCTCCAACTTGATCAAAATATTATTTCAAGAATGTGTCTTAATTAAAGAAATGTATTTCCTAGTCAATATTATTGCACCTTATTTGCTCTTATGATTATAGTTTTCCTGATTGTTTATTTTTCAGCTGTCCAGCAGTTCTGATATGGCTGGCAATGCAGTGCAGATTTTGGATGTCTTGATACAATATTTGGTAGTTGAACATATTGATTATG